CATCACAATAATATTAAAAATAATAAAAAATATTAGTCACCATTCACTTAACTTTAGTTTATGAAAACATAAAATTATTAATAAAATATGAAAAATCAATATATATATATATATATATATAACCATGAATAGTTAAGTTACCTGTTTCTCGAATTAAGTCTTCGTTAATATTGCAGGAAAAATGGTTCCAGCTATTCCATCTGAATAATTGTCATTAGTAGTTGGTGTCACTATACATTAATTTTCATATATTTACAAGACATCGTCATTGAAGAAATTATATAATTTTTTAAGAAAAGGGATATCACTTTATATATGTTATTTTTATGATGACAAAAAAAAAAATTACTATTCAATATGAAAACATTAATTCAGTAGTATGGGCTTCCAAAGTAAAACATTCATTTCAAACACTTTTTACATTAAACACTAATTATTTGAAAGCTAAATAATTTGATGCATCAAATACTCGTTATTTGCTTCTACAAGTAACTTTGTTAAAATTTAAGCAATCCATAAAGTGGACCAGAATTGATGTGGCAATAGTGTAATACAAGAAATTGTTTATAAGTAATCTTTATTGCAGATGCTCTATGAACTTTCATATTCAATTCTCTTTCCTTATTGGCTTTAGCCAAAAATATGAAGGCTTTGTTTTTATATAATATGATGGAAATTAGTAAAAAATAAATAAAAAAAGTATCCCTTTATTACTTCTTCTTTTGGATAACATAGCTGTATACAACAAGGCAACGGATGTTTCACGTGATGAAATAAAAAATAAATCACACAATAGAGAAAGAAAAAAAAAGGATTGAAGACGTAACTATTCAAATTCTCACATTACATTTACATTATTTACTTGTGGTAATATTTTATTTTATTTTTACTAATCTATCAAGTAAACATTATAAAATGTGATAAAAAATTTCCTAAAAATTGAAGATAAGATCGTTTAGAAAAGTTATTCAATGATAACAAGAAAATCATTAACTTTTTTTTTGGCCAACATATAAGGAGTGGTTGGAGGGTCAATTGAAAACCCAATTATGAGTTGAAAGCTCAATCACGAATCATTAATATATTGACGTTGCTATTGATGTAAATGGAAAAGATAGTGGATTAACATTCCCATCATGAAATAATGCTTGGATAGGGCATTTGAATGCATGTGTGATCTATTTCTATAACATCATATAACTCCTAATTTACTAATTTCTTGATTAGTGAATGCAACAAATAAAAATAAAAAGATACAACAAGAACCAACCCAGGTTTGTTTTATTCCCTGTAGGTGGCTTAGGTAAAACTATCAAATACTATAACAACTCCTCTTGAGCCTTAATATTTTATGCAATTGATGCAATTAAGTTACCACATGTCCTTGTCTTATTCTTGCCCACAAAATCAGTGAAGATGAACAAGTAACCCAAAATCCCTAAAACCCCAAACAAGATATCATAACTGCAAATTAAGACAAATAATGCCACCACCATATATGGACCTTCCGTTGGATCACTCACATCATCATCTTGTGCATGCAACTCATGATTAAACAAGTTGGATGTAGTGGGAGGACTTGATGGTGCCACCATAAATTGTTTATAGATATATATATGTATCAAGAATCAGATCAAGATAAGACATATATAATTTATTGTTTATTATTTTATACCTATTAATAACTTTCATACATTATAGAAGATTTTATCCGATTTCAGATACCCTTTTGATTCCACTAGCTAGCTGCCTTCCCAATTTCCCTACCATCTCAGAGTGTGTAAATTGATAATGGAGCAGTTGAAATTGAAGATAATTAAGTATTCTCTTCAATTAGTACATTAATTTAAGAATTAGGATGGATATAAATTGGAAGAGATCCTTTCATATATACATGAAAACAAATTGAGATTCTAAAGTGTTTAAATTTCATTCTTAATTAATCCATTAAATTACTACTTTATAATAAAAAAAATTATTATATTAACAAATTTTTACATTAAATGAATAGGATCCAATTCAGTGAAAATGTCACCAGAGAAGATACATTCTTGATATATATACATATAAGATGAAAAGTAGTACCAATAATTAACCAAATATAATATGAGACCATGTGCAATTGTGGAAGAATAATATTAAACTTTGACACACTCATGCGAAATAGTGTATATTTCAATTATTTGAGCATGTTAGTTAAATGCAAAAGCTAGCTAGCTATAGGGGGGACAAGCTTAAGGGGTAACAAAGAAGATAGAAAACAAGAAAGTTTGGTGGGAAAAGTTGAGAAAAAAAGAGTTAATTTACTTACCCCATAGGGGGTGTTTGGCCAAGTCCATTGCCAAGAAGGTTTCTCCTATGTAGCTCTCTAGACACCATGAACCCTCCTCCTCTTGTTCTATTCAACAACAAACGAGCAGAAGAAAAACTTGCATTGTTCAACATCACAAGGAGGCACAAGACAAGCCATGCCATCATGGATAACCTGAAGTTCCAACTTATTGAGGGTGAATATTGAAGGGCCATGTGGTATTCCATATACTATATGAACATATAAATGTGTTATTGAAGATGCAAAAAGATATTGAACTTTTGGGAAGGTGAAGAAGAGTGGAAAGGAAGGAAAAAAAAAGAATGAAATGAAGCTTGGCGGTGGCTTACAGCTTACTGTTATTGAAACAGTAATAATGACAATAAGGAAGTGTAGTACAATTTATGGAGCAACTAGGAAGAGTAACTTGCAATTTATAGACCAATAAGTAGTGGAAGTGGGGTTTGCTCCAATGGACCAACTTTTCTAGTTTGGCTTTTCCTTGTTTCACCTGTTTTTTTTTTTTTTTTTTTTT